GGCGCCCTTTGGAGGACGCCCCGTGCTTCGCGCAGCTGTCCGCAAGCCTTGGGCGCCTGGGGGAACTCCCCCCCCGCGCGCGCAAGGCTTGCGGGCGGCAGCCTGCAGCGCGGAGCGCGGGGCGCCCTTTGGAGGACGCCCCGTGCTTCGCGCAGCTGTCCGCAAGCCTTGCGCGCCCAGGGGAACTCCCCCCCGCGTGCACGGCTTGCGGGCGGCAGCCAGCAGCGCGGAGCACGGGGCGCCCTCCGTAGGAGGCTGCGGAGGGTGGCACGGAGCTGCCTGCGCTCCAGGGCTTCTTGCAGCTCCGCGCCACCCCCCGGATCCCGGCGCGAAGCCGCGCGGGGCTGCGGAGGGTGGTGCGGAGCTGCCTGCGCTCCAGGGCTTCTTGCAGCTCCGCGCCACCCCCCGGATCCTGGCGCGAAGCCGCGCGGGGCTCCGGAGGGTGGCGCGGAGCTACCTGGGCTCCAGGGCTTCTTGCAGCTCCGCGCCACCCCCGGATCCTGGCGCGAAGCCGCACGGGGCTCTGGAGGGTAGCGCAGAGCTGCCTGCATCCCGAAGCCTGGTGCGCGCTGAAGAGCGCCCCCGGGCTTCACGCACCTCTCCGCAAGCCTGGGGAGACCAGTGTGGCTCCCTAGGCTTGCGGATATCAGGCTGTTCTGGGGGCTGGGGTCGGGGGAAGCTTGGGCTTCCCCCGCGCCTGCCCCGTGCCTGGGGAGGGGAAATTTTTTTTCTTTATTCTCCCCCCAAAAAATTAGGTGCGTCTTATGGGGCGGTGCGTCCTATGGGGCGAAAAATATGGTAGTCAATATAGGCACAGAGTTAAATTTTTTAACATTTTCTAATGGTGGTGTGCCTCGAGATTTTTTTCATGAAACAAGTGTGCCTTTGCCCAAAAAAGGTTGGGAAACACTGTTCTAGGCTACTCCATTCCATTCCCTGTTCCAACATTTAGCATTCTATTACTACCGAGCATTCACAGTCCTCCTTTGGCTGTTTAGTCTCCCCACCCCAATATTTTTGGTTGTTCTGCAAACCTTGGGGACCCCTGGGCATACAGATACCGCTCTCTTGTTTTTCAGTGGCCTTGAATTGGCTACAGTCTTTTCAGCACCCATCAGATGAGTTTGCTATTAGAGTTTGTGATATGCCAGAAATTTCCATCCACATAATTTCACTCAGTCTCACTTCACTCTGGGTGTTGTGTCTTAAAACTGCACAAACTCCTTCCCTTCTCATCTCATCCCATGCCTGTTCTCTGTCTTTTATTTTGTCCTATAAAACCTTTAATTATCATAGGATGAACACATAGTGAATCCAAAGCAGTGAGAATATAACTCATGCTTTGTATGGTTTGGTAAACAGCCGTCTTATATTTCACACAGGGATGCATTTAAAAGACTATTTCACCACACAGAATAATGCAGCAAAAAAAGAGAGTCTGCTTCTGGAGATTTTTCACATAATACATATTCTGGTGAATTTCTTGTAAGAATGGTTGGATGAGAACATACACCTCCAAGTGAAAATTAGTTCTAACTTTAAATTATAGGATGATAGCTCTTATATTCTATGCTCCTACGTTATTGCTCAACACACCCACTCGCTCCATTTCCCTGTTGTGACTCAAGAACAGATCCCTCCAACTAGAGGTCACTCTCACTTGTCACAAACACTTTTATATGCGTCATTACCTCTCAACTATTGTCTGAGATTATTTCTCTCTCACTCAGATAGGGGGCTGAAGCATTGTGGCATCTATATGTAAAAAAAGCAAAATGTACTCTTCTCATTATTGTTGGTTTTTTTTTTTTTTTAAAAAGGAAAGTATATTACCTCTAAGTTTTGGCACATTTGCAAAATTTTATCCAAAATTAGAAATACATTTTCCACAAAAAGATCAGAGGTATTGTCTACTGATCTTCAGCATATACAGGTCTGCTGGTCCCTACGTATTGGACATGGAATGGGGTGATGTTAGGCATATTTGACTAATTTTGAGACTACTGCCTCTACTCTCCAAACCTCCTTCTTTGGAGGTCTTTAAGCAGAGGCTTGACAGCCATATGTCAGGAGTGCTCTGATGGTGTTTCCTGCTTGGCAGGGGGTTGGACTCGATGGCCCTTGTGGTCTCTTCCAACTCTATGATTCTATGATTCTATGATTCTAAGTGGGGCACATGGCAAAAAAGCAGGTGAGGAGTGTTTCTGTTCTAGGTTCAAGCCATAACATCTCCCTCTCCCCAGTTGTACTTTTCCCTTCCAACAAGCAGTTAACATTCCATGCCCAGTGAGCATGCTCAATTGTCATTGAGATGGTATGCCCCTCTCCATTTTGGGGTTTTCCTTGGGCTGGGTTGAGGGGTTTTTTTTCTTCGGGGGAGCAAGCTGGACATGATCTCAGTCCCATTATATTCTTAATTTTTCAGTTGATGCCTACAGACAGTTCTGTCTCCAGTACCTGAGGCATTAAGTAACTTCTCAGTGTTATCGAAAAAGTGACCTACTCAAATAGGTAGACAAATACAAATATCTTCTTGTATTCCAGGCATCCCACTCTGTTGTCCGTCCTCCCCCCCTCCCCACAGTTGTATGCAGTGGCGTAGCATGGGTTGTCAGCACCCGGGGCAAGGCAAGTAATTTGCGCCCCCTAACCCGTGGATTTGCGCCCCCTAACCCGTGGATTTGCGCCCCCTAACCTGTGGATTTGCCCTAACCCCAGATGTTGCGCCCGGTGCGGCCGGCCCCCCCTGCACCCCCCACGCTACGCCACTGGTTGTATGGTTATCCCCCTCTCATCAATTCAACATTCTGTCCCCCACAAAATTAAATATTGTCAATCCCGGAACCTCTCTCATTCTCTTAGAATGGCAATGGCGCCCACCAGAGAGGTGCTGGAACCCACCTGAGAAGTGCCAGAACTGAGTTCCTGTGAGTTCCCCCTGAAAAAGCCCTGCCTGTGTGTATCTCTGGGTTTTGCTGTGTCTGCAAGTATTCCGTCTTGTGCATCAGTGGTTCACATAAGCACAAATGTGGGTAGACTCAGATTACTATTAGCACATAGACTAGTACCTCACTTTTTAATAGTATACCAGGAATTCTCTCACTCTAAGAAAAACCAGGTGCACCTACGTCCCATTGAAGTAAGTGGATTTTAAGCGTGTGCACTTTTTATTTCAAGAGATTTATATACATTTCTTGCTTTTCCAAATAGTTTTTGTCATACATTAAAAAACACATCTGCTTTAGTAAAATAAAATGAACAGCTAAAGCTAAAATATGTGGCTTGTAAATAACATGCCAATGGCATACCTAGTGAGGGCTCATTTCATTTCATTTCATTTCCCCCTCTAGCTCTGCATGTCCTCACAATGTTGTGCACTTTCCCTATAACAACCTGATTAGGAGTTCTTCCCTTTGACCCTCTCACCCTTCCTAGTGCCATCATAGCTATTATCTTTTAACCAGAGCTTGATCATTTTACCAGTCTGCGAAAGTGAAATTAAATGAGTCCATTCTGGCTGGTGGTCAACTGAAGATATAACCCAATAACCTCTGGAGTCAATATGAACTTGAAATGAGTTGGGGGTGCAAGGCTTCAAGTATAATTGCCCTGTTGACTTCTGCTTCTCAGAAACGCACCCAGTATAGTACCACTGAATAAAAATGGTTTAAAGAGCCCTTTGTAATACCCTTTCACCAAGTTGAGAATGGAGGCTCAGTTACTTGTTTTGTACATGAGCCCTTCAAAAAAACAACAAGATTTATCTTACCAGCCATGCCATAAAATAATCACCAGATCTACTTCATACCATTCCCTTCCATTAATGTTATAACCATCATGACATTGAAGCACAACCTAAAGAAATTAGTTTTGCATTTCATAATGCAGATTAGCAGCTTAAGAACATGCAGACAAACATGCAGAAGCTTCAGGTGATACTTGCTAATTTCAGGGGTCCCTCCATGTTTTTGTAGCACAGCTCATGAATATTTGTATGTGGAAAAGAATTTCACTTACACAACAGTTTTCTTCCTGCATGTTTCTGTGCATGTTTTTGAATATGAATATGTGCATAATATTTCAGCATCTCATGCATGTTTGTCATGTATGCTGTATGAAAAGTTCTTCAGATAAAAACATGAATAGCCTAATATTTCTGTTATTTTGGCATGCTTTCTTTACAATAGCTGGGTATCACTGTTGTGAATTTTATTTTTATCATGAAGGGTTATATATATAGCTTGGATACTCCTTTAAGTCCTCACTTTGTTCTAGTTTTTATGGTTAGGTACTTGAGTTGGATTTTAAATAAGTTAAAATTATTAGATTTAAGCCAATTTTGATGCATTTTATTTTAATAAAACTAAACTGGCTTAAATTCAAACATGTAAACTGAACTGTGGAATGGGCTATAATCATTATTTTTAGGGTTCTGTGTGAAATATCCCAAGTGAGAGTGGGGCAACCCACTAAAATACACATTTGAATATCTGACTCAGAGAGCACACAGTGTAGTTTTGGGAGAAACCATCCAATATCAAATTCTTTCTTTTCCTTGTGAAGCTGGCAGCTATTGGGACCTGGGATTGGCTCTTCGGGATTAATTGTCATATATTTATTTCAGTGTGAAAGAATAACAGAGATATTTCTAGTTCTCAATAAACACTGTACAATTCAAATATTGCTCAGTAATATTCTGTGCTTCGTAACAGAATAGCGGACAAAACAGGATACAGAACTCCAGGAGAACCAAACTTGGGGAGGGGGAGGCGAGATTTAAACGTCAGGCACAGGAGTACAAAACAACAATGGTATGGGATGCAAGAGACTATTGCACAACAGTATCAGAATGTCCACATAAATCTCGCTTGCTAGTCGACGTCTGTGGGGGCATTACGAGTGGAAGAGGCATTTTCCACAGCTCCGTCCATGAGTCCCGTTGCCTCTGCCGCGCAATCACACCAAGTAAGGCACATCTGGGAGACCTAGCGGAGACTCACCTGAGCAGCACCGCAGCTTCCCACAGATAGAATCCCGAGACAGCTGCACGCAGGTATCTAATCCGGGCCATGATATGGTGAGGAATTCACAACCTCCTCCCAAGCGAACGTGTCCGAGTCATGAGGGAATCCAGGAGGGAAAGCGGAGGAAGGGAGAGTTCAGCCTGAGAGCTCTTGGAGAGGCTGCCGAGTGTTCAGCACCTCGGAGAGCTCCCCGGAACCCTCCAGCACCTGTAAATCCAATCGCGCGAGGACGCCTCTGCCCCGGGTCGTCTATTCTCCAGCGCCTGGGACTTCGGGCATTTTGGGGTGGTTGTTGTTGGCAACCAGCTCGCCAAGGGTTGCGCTGTGCATTTAAAGAGAGAGGCTGATCCCAGGGGGAAAGACCAGGCAGTCGAGCAGAGGCATCGGGAGAAGCGAAGCAGCGGCAGGGAAGACCTACTTTCCGCCTTCGCTTCCTCCGGTCCTTCTTTCTCCGGCCAGAAGCCAGCTCGCCACATTCCTGAACACTGGGAATGCCACGGCTCCGGGGGGGGAGGAGAGGGGAGGGGGAGGGGGCGGAGACGGAATCAAAGCAGTGGACTTTCCTCAGCCAGTCAGGGGAGCTCCCAGGACGACGGAGCAGATAGGCAGAGCTGCCTCGCGAAGACGCAGAAAGGGGCGCTCGGTGGGAGCGCGTTTGCACAGAAGCACGGGGATTGACGAGGGATCCTCTAGGCAAGGATGCTGTGGAGAAGGACGGAGGAAAGGATTCCCAACCGCCTCAAGGAGGAGGAGGGAGATGAGGGGAAATGTTGTTTGGGAAGGGGATTGCTCTTTACTGTTGCGGAAAAACAAGAAAGACCTTGCCCGAAGGGACACGTGTCCCCTTAGTGCTTTGTCTCTTCATGACGGGAAAGTTTATGTTGTGCAATGGTGTTGTGGAAGCAGTGGGGTCTCTCTCTCTCTCTCTCTCTCTCTCTCTCTCTCTCTCTCTGTGTGTGTGTGTGTGTGTGTGTAAACATCTGGAACAAATGTGGTGAGGTTGTCATGATTCTCCGGGTCGAAGATGTTGATGGATGACTCGCCCTAGAGTTCAGAAAGAGGACTGTTACAGCCAGTAAGTGTGGCCAGTAACCATCAATGTCCAGCGCAATTAGTTATCTAAAATGAAGAAGGGAGGGAGAAGGATCGGCAGTACAATCCTGTGCATGTTTGCTCAGGAATGTCCTACTGTATTTAGCAGGGTTTACTCAGTAACTGAGGGACGCGGGTGGTGCTGTGGGTAAAAGCCTCAGCGCCTAGGGCTTGCCGATCGAAAGGTCGGCGGTTCGAATCCCCGCAGTGGGGTGAGCTCCCGTTGCTCAGTCCCAGCGCCTGCCAACCTAGCAGTTCGAAAGCACCCCCAGGTGCAAGTAGATAAATAGGGACCGCTTACTGGCGGGAAGGTAAACGGCGTTTCCGTGTGCTGCGCTGGCTCGCCAGATGCAGCTTTGTCACGCTGGCCATGTGACCCGGAACTGTCTCCGGACAGTGCTGGCCCCTGGCTCTTAAGTGAGATGGGCGCACAACCCCAGAGTCTGTCAAGACTGGCCCGTATGGGCAGGGGTACCTTTACCTTTACCTTACTCAGTAACTGATTTCAGGATCTCAGCCCACATGTGTATATTGGTGGTGGAGCCGCTTCTACTGTTATCTTCATTGACAAAGCAACATGAACAACCTTCTTCTCTGCGGATGGTTGGGATGCATACAAATTGACTTCTGCTCTTTTTGGTAGCATATCAGTTAAATTATAAAATTAGACCAATTTAATGACTTGGTTTAAAAAACACGCACACAGGCAGAGTACTCAAATTTGGTTTTAGGCATTCTTCCTCACATTCATCTTGGGCAATGAATCCACCCACTACAAGAATAATGTTAGAAATTGCATTCCATTAAAATAACATTCTATTATTTTAGGCTGCACTGCTAACTCTGTACTTGGATATAAACCCCAAATGAATTTCAATGGAACTTACTTCTGAGCAGACATGATAAGGATTGTGCTGTTAGTTATGTAAACATTGGGGGCTGGCCAATGTTGGTTATACTCAGAGTAGACGTACTGAAATCAACTGGGGTAAATTAATTTCAATGAGTCTTCTTTGAGTAAATGTTAGTTGGATTCAATCTCTTCTTTTTAAGAAACTCTGAACTGGCACTTTAAGAGAAATGTAAAAAATTCATTCAAATTAGTTTCTACAATCAGCTTTGATAAGCATGTGCATGTATCAAAGGTGAGAAAAGAGGCATAAAACACATCTCCTCATATTTGGAGTACTAACTTTTTTAACTAAGCCATTTAATTTGTCCTGTTTCCCACAGAGACTTAAGCAGATGTGTTTTTCTTTTCACAGTATTAATTAAAACTACTATCAGGAGGTTTCTAGTGTAAATAGGCTGCAGTTATAATTTATATACACCATCCTAAGTATGCCTTATTCAACACTATGGAAATTCTTAAAGCGAAAGCATGTTGTAAGTGCTGGTTTTTCTCATTGTTAAATTCACTAGGCATATTTTGAATTGGTTCACTGATTGCCTTGTTCTTTGTTTTTAAGCTTATAGAATGGGGAGCTTGTGGAATGGGGAAATGTCTGCAGTATTGTATTAAAAAAATCTCTTTGAACACACACAAGACAGAGGATGCACAGTACATTCAAACTTTCCATATTTTACTGGTTTTGACTGTGTAGTCACAACCTATTTGTTTGTGGCTGGGATTGAGAATCTGTGACACTTTAGATGTTGTGTACGACACTCACATCCTTTTACTGCTTCTTTCATTGTTAACGCCACTAGACATATTTCCTGGTTAACTTCTTGACCATTGGCCATAATGGTGGCAGCTGATGGGGTGGAGGCCAGCAACTTCTGGAGGGACACAGGTTTCTCATACCTTAGGGTATGATCCAGGCAAAGTTAAGCACTTAACACCTACTGGGGAAAGCATGTGCTCTTCACATGTAAATCAACTGGATTTAAAAGTACAGTGGTACCTCAGGTTAAGTACTTAATTCGTTCCGGAGGTCCATTCTTAACCTGAAACTGTTCTTAACTTGAAGCACCACTTTAGCTAATGGGCCCTCCTGCTGCTGCCACGCCGCCGGAGCACGATTTCTGTTCTCATCCTGAAGCAAAGTTCTTAACCTGAAGCACTATTTCTGGGTTAGCGGAGTCTGTAACCTGAAGCGTATGTAACCTGAAGAGTATGTAAGCCGAGATACCACTGTATACATCCCCCCCCTAGGTTGTATACTGATTTGTACTTTTTATTCCTACACCAACTCATAAAAACTAAAACTGACAAAGGATCAAAAGAAAACCTAATCAAGTGCCGAGCAATGCCTGGGTTCTATTGGACTGCATAGCTGTTTACATGGATCCAAGGAACCTTTGGGTTTGTTAGCCCTGTGCTAGATAGTACACTTTTTAAAAACAACAACAATAAACTAATGGAATTTTTCAAAAAGACAAAGCATGTTATTGTAGAGGCCATGGGTCTGCTATTCAAAGGGGGGGGGGATCCAAAACTACTTCTTGAGTTCACCTAAAATTTATTATTATTATTAACCAGGGTTTATTAGTCAACTGACTGTAATACATACCAGTAATCTTAGTGCCTGGAGTGTGAGAGCAAGCTTCATTCTTTCATCCTTCTGTAGCAGGAACATAAATAAGTGGGCAGCAGAAAGTTGGAGACTAAAGGAAGGGAAGGCTGGAAAGGTTTCAGTTTTTCCTCAGAATCAAATCTGAGCTAGAATATAATTTAGGTAGTCAAAATACTAACCACAAAATACTAACCATCGCGGTCATGTGGCTGTTCCCCCTCAAAGTAGGGGGCAAGTTGACACCTCTGATTGCAGCTTGCTTGGTTGTTTTGTTTAACTAGGAAGCAAACCTTATTCATCTTGAAGTCACAAAGGTGATGTGTGCGTGTAATTGAGTTCTGTGATGTGTCTTACAATTTTCCAGCTATCATTTATACACACAAAATTGTTCCAGTGTTTGGACAGGGCTCAGAGTACTCTCCCTGTTTCAAGTGTTTGCTAAAGCCCATCTTAAAGATTAAAATTCCCACACAGTGCCATCCCAGCCCAACTAGCTATGAGAGACTACTACTTTATGGAATGATGGAGAACAGACAGAATTAAGCACTTAAAGGTCCAGGCCCACAGAATTTCTAGGCATTATCTGGGCATGAGCAGTTCAATTCTTGGGCACCTCCTTGAAATCTAACCTCCTTAAAATCACAGTGGACTTTTGTGATATGGCATTACAGCCCTCCTGCTATTCCTGAACGCCAATTCCCATCAACACAAACAAGCATAAGATGATGGGAGTTGTAGTGTAACAACCTCTTGAGGGTCACAAGTTTCCCGTCACTTGTCTAGATAATTTACATGCCAACTATTTGCATAAATCTTAAAGAACTATTTGTGGCAAAAGGTGTAAACAGAAAATACTTTGTCTTACTCACTATGAATGGCTGGTGCAATCATGTTGAGTGATTAACTAGGGTACCCAGTTAAAACAACAAGAGAAATGGGTTTCCAGCTTGAGAATTTAAGAAAGAAAAGAAAGAAAAGAAAAGAAAATGTGTCTTCACAGTTACAACCCCAGTGGAAATTATACCACTATAATGTAGGGCTTAGGTTTCCTGATGTCCTTAATATCTACAGGCTTATCTAGTTGAATGGTCTGTTCCCAGAGAATGATAGATTCAGATGGCTTTGTGGTGGTTCTTCAGCATTTTCTTTTCGCCATGGAGTTCAAGTTCTTGATAATATTGAGGATGCAGTAGTGTCTTTACGAAACCACTCACCTGGTTTTCTGAGAAACTACAGGTAGTGAAATGGAGAGATGATGGTAGACCAATTGGAGAGGGAAAACTAATGACTGATCTGATGAAACACAGGTTTTGTCTCACTTACAGGCCCACTCCATGGTGATGATGGTGGCAAAAACTTTCCTACCACCATTTCAATTGCACAGTCAGTTAGCATAGCGATTTTATACATGTCTGTTCAGAAGTAGCCTCCACAGAGTTCAACAGAACTTACTCCCAGCTTAGTGTGTATAGGGCTGCAGACTAAAATGTCAAACTGAACTGTGATAGCAAAGCTTCATTTGATCCAATACTTGTTTCTATTCTGTTCAGATAATTAATGCCTGTTGCCTAAACTGATTCTCCTCTTCTGAGATGATAGATGAGAGGATAGGTGTTATTTCTATTTGCTATGTTCCTCCTCATAAACCTCTGACTGCTGAAGGTCTGGAATGATAGATAATGTACTAAGGCCCCTAAACAAGATGGTATGGAACATAATCCATTATGTTTGATCTCCAGTAGCCTAGTCCAATGAAAAATGCTATATTGAAATAATTATGCAGTTCATATTTTGGTGTTTATTTTTAAAGTTAAGAATGGTTTAGTTATGTCAGTTATGGTGGTTTTCTTGACCCCAAAGTTTCCCCAAGATGTAACTCAATCAAGTGTACAAGCCCAGAGGCTTTAAGCTATCACTAAACATACAACCACAGAGAAAATGTCCTTTGATTAATACTGCCTCACAATTCAAGACACCAAGGCAACAGAAAGGACTGAGGGCAATGGTTGTTTAAAATTTCATACAAAGACACTAATCCTGAAAGCAATTCAGGATACAAACCTAATAATTCTTACTCGAAATATCAGTGAAATTAGTAAGACTTACTTC